TAAAAGCATTGTTTATTATATTATATAATGTATTATACTATATAGTATAAGTATAAATATAGAATTATCATATTGTGAGGTAAGAGACATTATTAACAGCTTTAAAAATAAAAATAGCCGTGATATACATGGTCTAAACATCAAATTAATTAAAACCATTAAAGAATTAATTGTAATCCCTCTTACAAAGCTAATCAACCTATGTCTAAAGGAAGGTACTTTCCCGAGGGTTCTCAAGAGGGCTGTGGTGGTTCCAATACATAAGAACGGTGACATTGATAAGCCTGAAAACTACAGACCTATCTCCCTGCTGCCAGTAATTTCAAAAATCATAGAGAAAAGCATGGCCAAACAAATATCAACTTTTTTTGAGAAAAATAACCTACTCACAACTTGGATTTAGAAGGGGAAGAAACACTGTGTGGACCACAACATATTAATTAAAAAGCTCTATTGTTACATATTTAGTGAAAATAGCATAAATCTGCTTAAATCTTATTTACAGAACAGAAGCCAAGTGGTGAGAGTCAGTGGTGTGTCGTCAGCAGAGAGAGATATCACGGTAGGCGTTCCTCAGGGATCTATTCTAGGACCGCTGCCATTCTTAATATTTATTTATGACGCCGAGAAGCGACCCGAGTATAAATTTTACTCTTTGCTGATGATACCACACTGTCTCTCAGTGCAAATACACAAACTGATGCAGACGTCAGATTGTCAATAGCTCGGGAAAAGGCAGAAAACTGGTTTAGGGCAAACAAACTCTTATTAAACAAAGAGAACACCTGCAAAATGATGTTTACCATGCGAAAGGTGGAGCAGAAAGTAGAAAAAACAAGTTTCTAGGAGTCTATCAGGACCCCACGTTGCTGTGGGATCAACACATAGACTTTATTGCTTCAAAACTTGGTAGGAGTTTGTTTGTCCTAAGAAATCTCATGAACTGTGTTTCAGCTGAAGTTTTAAAAGTGGCGTACTTCTCACTTTTCCAAGCCCACCTTTCATATGCCATTTTGGAATGGGGCCATGCACCTCAAAGTGAAAGGTTTTTTAATATACAGAGAAGGGCTATTAGACTGTTGGCAGGTTTAGGCTTTCAGGATGATTGTAGGCAGGCATTATTGGACATGAATCTTTCAACAGTCCCGTCATTGTACATCTACGAGTGTTTAATCCACATACACAAAAATGGTTCTCAATATTTTTCTCATGGAGACGTTCACCAATATGACACAAGGAAACGAAATAACGTAGCACCAATATATTGCCGCCTGAAAAGGTGTCAAGATGGACCTAAATACTGGGGCATTAAATTTTATAATGTACTACCATCAAAAATTAAAGCTTTAAATAAAAAAGACTTTAAAAGGGCTGTTAAACCAATTTTAATTGAAAACCTAGTATACACCAAAGATGAGTACCTGAACCTCTTTAAATTGTAATTTTATACCAATCTACTTATAAGCTTATGTTTAAATCTAATAATTTTATAGTTTTTATAATCTGTGTTAATGTAATTTTGTAGTATATTTTATTCTTTATAATCTAGTAATGTATCTGATATATCTGACTGACTTGTGTAAATACATATGTATTTTAACATAAATAAATTTGATTTGATTTGATTAAATACGTATACGCAGACATGTCATATGTATTTAGAACCCATCAAACGGCGTGGCAGTTTTGTCAGACTTTTTTTTCTGTCTAGCGCACGGACGATAAAAAAAGTCACATAAAAGTTCGGAAACCATTTACCTTCATTTACCAACATAATCTACATCCACCAACCGATAAAAAACCAAGAAGATAGGGTACAAAACACTATTTTATAGTACTTTATCCTATAATATTGATATCACAGAATATAGAAATGAGATTATGCAAAAGTTTAATTTAAAAAGTAGCTATAGCTATAGCTATAGCTATATATAAATAGTAGCGCAGTGCGTCTTTCTAAAACAAAATGGCGCAATACAGTCTTAAAAGTGCGAGAAGGGTCAAAATCTGGCAACACTGCAGTGCGTAACGGTCGTAGCCAGCGTTGCCAGTCCACGAAAAAATTCTGTACTGATTTTACTAAAAAGGTACTATACTGCACCCAGGATTTTTTTGGAGATATCGAGGTTCAAACTTTCAATATCAAGTTTAAAACCATCCAAAACACACTTGTAACGAGCGTTGCCAGTCCACGAAAAAAATCTGTACTGATTGAAAGGAAAAAACGTACTGATTTTACTAAAAAGGAACTGTTTTCGAAAAAATTCAAGATTTTCTTAATATTTTGAGTATATTGCTTGTAAATATTTAATCTGGCGACAACGCATTTTAAAATTTACTAATTTTAAACCAACATCACTGCTGTCTATGTATGCTTAAATGACTGTAAATTTGCATCGTGATCGCTTTTTATTTTGTTGGTTTAGGCCGCGAGTAGGCAACATGTTGGTCCAACATTGTTGGAGCTGTGATTGATAAACGATAAAAGCATCGTCGCTATTTAAAATACATCGGTTGTAACGATGGGGAGAGTCGCGACGCTCTTATCGTTTATGACAGCTCCAACATACTCGCGGCCTAGCCGTTAAAATGGTAGATTTTGACATGTCAATAACAAATTAATTAAGACTGAATATAAAAAAAAATGTCTTTAAAACACGTGCTTGCCATGTACATGTACATGTAATTGTACAAGGCAAAAAACGGTGCAGTGTAATGTAAAAAGTAGTTTTTTCTTTAATAAAGGGTTCTTCAATAGGGACATAACAATTTTGCTAAAACGTTAGTCAAAGTTTACATTTTTATCATGGTGAAGTTCACGAACGAGCAACGTTTGGAAATCGTTTAAACTTATTACCGTAATTCTGAGTCGATGGTTAAGAGCGCTTACTCAATCTTTTGTCGCAGACAAGCTATGCGCGGTGATGGTGAATATTGAATGTTCATGTGCCAGTGAGACAACGCAACGGTCAAAGTACTTAAAATATTGCAGCCGTAAGAGCTTTAGTTAAAAATGAACTAATCAAGTCGATTCCAGGCTGTTCACAAGAATTGGCCGTATTTTTTCGTCGATAAAAATAATAGCCATGTTACGGTCAATGGAGTTTGCTATCGGGCCATATTGGAAGTTAATTTTTGGCCAGAATTGGATAACCTTGACATCAACGATATGTGGTTCCAATAAGATGGTGCTACAGGCCACACAGCTGGTCAAACAATTGCTTTATTAACAGAAAAATTTGGTAATCGTATAATCTCGAGAAAGGGTTCAGTCGAATGGCCACCTCGCTCATGCGATTTGACGCCGTTGGATTTTTTCTTATGGGGTTACCTTAGTCGAAGGTTTATGCCAACAATCCAACAACGTTAGAGAAGCTCAGGAACAATATCAAACTGGAAATTGCCAACATTCCGGCTGATATGTGTGGAAGAGTGATTGAAAATTTGATCCAAAAAATTCATCGCTGCCACGACGGTCATATGAACGATGTCGAATTCCATACATAACTGTAATATGTGTACTATACCTGGAATAAATTTGTCCCCGATATCTCAATTATTCTGTGTTTTATTTATAAACAAAATTATAATGTCCCTCTTGCAAAACCCTTTATATGTATATTTTTGTCAGTCTTATTTGAGAAGGTCCGTTCCAAAACTCGGCTTATAGACTTTTTAATAAAAATGAGTTAATGGTGTCTGTACATTTAACATGTAGCCCCCTATACCCTGAAAAGGTCATAATATATTAAAACTCACCTTATTCCATTTACAAATTGACTATCATTCCAAAACTTGCCTTATCTATTAAACTGGCTGATATGTATGTAATTTTAAATTATTTTAAATTGGAGCTATACCTTTTTAAACAAGGTATATAAATTTTATACTTATGCCTATTTATTTCGTTTAAAGTTGCAAAACGTACTGAAACTATCAAAGTATCACTGACGTACTGACAGACCTTAAAAAGTACTGATTTCAGTACAAAAACACTGACACTGGAACAGCTGGAGCAGCCATCTTAAGTTCTGTGGCAGCCATACTGTTTTTATTTATATCTGAGTGTTTGTTTGTATCTGTTCTGTGTTCGTTTGTGATTGTGTTTGTACGAATTAACGGAATATTAAATGTAAGTCAATATGAACCATTTGTATGACAAAAAAAAACAATTGACCTATTTGGACAAATTTTTTATTAAGTGAAAAACCCTAAAATTTTCCATCAAGCCCCGACAAGTTTGCTCAGTTATGGCTTCTATCTCTGCCCAAATATCATCCCCCAGATGGCATGGCGGTTACCCATAAAAAAGTCACATGAAGTCAAGTCCAGCCTTTGGGGGGCCAATTTATGTCTCCTCTTCGGGAAATTAGTTTTTTAGGAAAAAGTGCCTAAACAAAGGGCGTAGACCGATTTGAAGTGTGACTTGTAGCTCAGTCTTGTTAAAACCAGAGTAGGTGTTAAAAAATTACGAATCACACCGACATAACGTTCAGAATTCATTATTGCGTTGACGCGATCGTCTTCAAAAAAGAACGGACCGATAATTCTAAATGCTGGGCGGCCAAAACTGTGACTTTTGGGTTATGCAAAAGCATTTGATGTTTTGTTTTACACCAGTATCGAAAATGTTGTTTATTGACAAAGCCATAACTGAGCAAATTTGTCATATCGTGATGGCAAATTTTAGAGCCCGACTTCAAGAGCGCCAGTATAAAAATTTATTTAAAAAATTTTAAAAAATTCCAAAGTTTTTCTTCAACTTAATAAAGAATTTGTCAAAATTGGTCGATTGTTTTTATTTAAATTTAAATTAAAAATGTGTACAGCAACGAAAACTTGTTAATTGACTGGCACACAATTCAATGCCTTGGCTAGCGCCTCGGCAGTGAAATGTATGCTCGGATAAAATATGCGCTTTCTCCTCCTGGTCTAAAATGTACTATTTTATTTAAACTTAATTTAAAAACTAGCATGGGTTTAAATAATTATAATCTCACCTGTATTGTGAATTATATATCTTGCCATCAAAGCTGCATTATCAGGTTGTGGAGGAAGGATAAATCCATGTGTAAATTGTATTAAATAAACTAAAAAAAGCGTAATTTCTCTCATCTAAAAAATTAATGGTTAAATAAGAGTAGTGTAATGTACAACTTACTTACATTTTAAATTTACTGGAACTAAGTAACTTTCATAAATATTATTGAATTATAATTTAATTTTAACTTGTGTTAAAGGTCATTTATTCATAAACACGTCTACATTTGTTGATTATGATAATATAAACCAAGAAGACTATAACCAAGGAAGTAGTAGTAAATTTATTTATACTACATTAACTACAAATTATTTTTTTCTTGTTATTTTTGTATACTAAGTAGGTATTTATTGTTTTAATCTTAAATTATATATATTTTTTTTAATGACAACTGCTTTTGCTTGCCATTTTCAAATATGATATAAAGGAGTATAAAGTATAATATTTTGATAATTTAAATTGTTTTAAACAAGTATAAGTTACTTAAAAACATATTATTTTTAAAATTACACAAAAAAACAAATAATAGGTATTACTATGATGAATTCTCCAGACTTCGTCTAATAATTATTAAATATTAATTAATTAATTAATTCATTAATTAATTAATTCCCAAGGGGAATTGATCATGAACTTCTTTTAACATAATTTAAAATTATGTCTTTAAATAATAGGAGATTTTTAACAACTCAGGTTTTTCTTTTTAAAATATTACATAATTTAGTTGACTCTCCGTTATTACTTTCCAAACTTAAGTTTTTAGTACCACGTTTAAATTCTAGACAAAATATTATGTTTTATTGTGGTAATTGCAGAACCAATATTTCATTAAAATCACCTATTTATGTTAGTAATATCTTCAAATTATAATTAAATACCTATGTAACTTTTGCGACATAAATAATTGTTCACTTAAAGAGTTGATTTCATGCATTTTTTATATATTTTATTTCATCTAGTTACATATAGTTTTTTTAAATATATTTACATTTTCTTACTTAAAATGAATTGTAATTCTTGTCCTGTAATTGGTTTCTCTGTTGGACAAATAAATACATTATTATTATTATTATTATTATTATTATTATTATTATTATTATTATTATTATTATTATTATTATAATTATTAATATTATTATTATTAAAACAACAAATTTATGAAAACGGCAAAGTTACAAGAGCCCACAGCTCCACAGCCAGTGAGCTGTAACTTCTGAGTTTGACACGTCAGAATAAGAGCCGTTTCACATGCGACTGATAAAGTCCTGACGATCAGTCCTGATAATACGGACTGACGGTCATGACCATTGTTTCACAAGCAACGTATAGTACGGAAATGTCTACTACGAGACGGTTCTCAGCGCATCCGGAACTGCGCTGTTGCCGCTTTTTGTATAAAGAGAATAATACAACGCAAAAAAGTTCTTCTTTGCTTTCGCAAAATTTTCAAAATCCGGAACTACTATTTACGCTACTTCTTCAAATGCTTTGTTCTTTGCATCCCTATTTTTGTAGTTCTCATCATCTGCATACCAGATGCATCTTCGCTGTTCGATGCTATTTATTACAATTTCAGTATCAATGCGTAAACTACTCATTGTGCAACACTGTTTCTGCTGACCGTACGTACCATATGAAATACTCCATATATATAATTAACAGCCCTTAATAGTCCTGACGGTACGCAGTGCGCACGGGCTGTCCCGATGCCCGTGCCGACGAATCAGTCAACCGATGATACGCAGTGCATGTGAAAAAGTTCATTTAAACAATGGCCCCTAGTCATCAGGACTGACCATCAGGACTGATCGTCAGGACTTTATCAGTCGCATGTGAAACGGCTCTAACACAAACCCAAGCTTTTCGAAGTAAAAAGTTGGGTTATAGTATTTTGTTTGTCATCAGACATTCTTATTTACAGTCAAGTGACCAACAAAAAAAACAAACACGTAATTTACTACATTTACTACACAATAATTCACTACATACTAAATTTACTACGTACTAAATTTAAGTGATTAAGTGCAAGAATACCGTGGCTAAAATATTAAAATTAATATAAATAGTTCATTATCTAACAGGCAAAGAAAGCGCTTATTTAAAGCAGAGCTCAGTTTTCCCTGCCGAGATTGCAGATCTAAGCGAGGCAATTAATATGCTTTCTTCGTCTATTTTTTTTCAAGAATTTAATAATTCTGTACTTACATTGAAATAATCGAGTTTATGACATTTTGCCAGATTTGAGGTTTGACATATGTTATATTATAGGTTATGTACATGAATTTATTATACAGTGACCTGTAAGTTTAAATTTTCTTTGCTTTTGAGCTAAACGCGATATATGGAACCACTCTTAAGAGAAATTTCTATAGGTACCTAATGTATTTTCATTATTGTACTGCGGTATATAATAATTTTACTTTTGAACTGCGTACAAATATACTATATTTAATATAGTCTTTCTATATAGGCCCAGATAACATTGCATTGCACTTATGCACGCATATATGCGTTTTTCGTATGTTAACATTTAGATATTACCTACTTGTTTTTGAATAAGTTCGATAGTTAGACTATAATTTAATATTTTTGAGGTGTTAGTCTCTCCAGGTAAATAATATTGTTTGGGTGGTTTATTAAAGTTTAATTTATAACCTTGCACTCAACTTAAAATAGATTTGTTGTTGGTTAATGTCAGCCAATTTTTATAAAGTTTCTGCAGACGACCAGCATAAAGTTGAGAACTTACCACTATTTCCAATGACGATTTCGTTGATATCCTTGTTCCTTTCTTCGTTCCTTTTGTTCCCTTTTCTGAAATCGAGGTTCGTCCGCTTGTTTCATCTTATATTTTTTGAACTGGCGCTGGAAGTTTAAATTATTCGTGCTAGTTCATGGTCTTGGGTTGTTTAAAGGTTTGTATTGGCTAGCAGTGTAAGCTCGTAGTTCTCTACCCGTTTTTTGTTGATTTTAGGATTTCTGCAAATTCATTTTAACATAAAAACTTATCGGTTTTGCTTTTTTCCATAAAATCTGGTATTTTCTATGATTTGATAGTGAGTGTAATGTACCACACAATATCTTGGCTGCATCTATCATACCCGATAATACTTTATTTTGTATTTCCTTAGATTGTATTTCATCTTAAAAGCGAGTTAAACTCAGAAAGGATTTGCAATTGCACATATGCCTTTCGCAATTTCATTTTGCAGTTTTTCGCAAAATTTATCTTTTTTATGTTAGTTTTAGATAAACAAGAAGAGATTTCAGGATTTAACTCATGCCTTTTAATAATTCCACGTTTTTTGGTATTTTATATTTTGATAATAACTCCACCTTCACTTCTTTTTCTACCCCTGACTATATAGTAATTATATAACTCCACCTAGAGGCCAAATTTGCGGGAAATTCCCGCACAAACTGACATACATTCTAGGAGTTCCCAGAGATAAAGAAGGTAGTTCCAATGTTGTATAATAAATTAAGGTGCGAATTTGAAATGTGGGATTTATTATTATTTATTATTATTAAAAAAAAGATGGAAATTAATTTAGTTCGTGCGGGAAATTCAAAATTTCAGTGTAGCCAACGTAATATAATTGAATGTTCCCAATTGAGAATTTTATTTTTTACCATTGGCAACATCGACCGCATTCCTTGCATATGGTCAATTATCATGCCGTAATCGTCATCTTCGTTAGGGTTAAGGTTCTTTACCAAGAAGTTCTAAATAATGTGAATTTATTTCAGCCTCTACCTGTATAACATTTTCAGGTAATTTTTCTTCTGGTAATTTTAAGTTAGTAGATGATTCATAGCTATATGACTCGTAAGTTGTATATGTGTCACCTAAATTAATACAATAATTTAATTATGTAATTATAAAATTTATTTTTAACAACTTTTTTATTTATTCATTTTTAAATAGGTCTAACCGTTCACCTATATAAAAATAGTACAAATGGGTTAAATATTATACCCTTAAAAATTAGGTACTTAGTACCTATGTACCTAATTGAGAAATCCGCTGGTTCCTATCTCTTATTTAAATAAATCTTTACTAATTATTTTTTTATCTTTCTCTTTTTTCTCAAAAGCCGTTTTTCATCTTTATCCACCGATCTTCTCTTGTTTTTCGGCATCTTTTATAACTTTATTTTACACTTCACGGAAACGATCTGCTCAAGTCAAGCACATTTAATGTTACAAATAGAATATCGGTTATTAGGTGGTAGGTGGCTGTTATAACAGGATGACTAATATATTAGTCATCCTTTTATTAATCATAAAATGTGCTTAAGTTAGGTAACATCTAATGTGACTACATAAAGTAAAATGCTGGAGTTGATTTTGAATGTTACTATAAAATTAACTATTGATTCTCAAGTAAAGCCCGTCCGACAACCAGTCCGTCGAGTCCCAGTATCTGTGGAGAAAAAGTTACAGGAAGCTTTAAATTTAGATATTATCGAAAAAGTGACGGAGCCAAGTGCGTGGATTTCACCAATAGTAGTGATTTGCGTTGACACAGCAAATTATGAGGGAAAACTACCCTCTTCCCACGTTTGATTCTTTTATGACCAAACTGCGCAAAGCAAAATATTTTTCCAGATTTGATCTTACAAATGCTTATCACCAATTGGAGCTACACGAAGATAGCCGCCCAATAACCACTTTCATCACGCACTATCCAATACAGGAATTGAGGCAGATGGCAGAAAAGATTAAAACACTTTTAGAATTTCGAGCAACCAATACAAAGGAAGAAATGCGCAGTTTTCTTGGTCCACTAAGGAAAATTTTATCGAAGAATGACACTTTCCACTGGGACGATATACATCAGCAACATAAACTAAAACATTCACTGGCATCCGTAACAAAATTTTCATACTTTGACCCACATTTTTACTATTATTTGTATGGATTAGAGTTTTTACTATTATTTGTATGGATTAGAGTTCGAGTTAGTAACGGATCATAAGCCTTTAGAAGCGGGGGTCATCCAGGAGAGACCGCAATAAAAAGAAGATTAAGGGCCATAGTTTGGTGGCCACTGATTGACCGATAAGTAGAAAAATTTATCATTTATCTTGTCGGGACTGTTTGCTTGTTACTATTCCAGACAAGCCGTCACCTATGAAAATACATTGTTTCCCCGATGAACCTTGGAAATGCATCGCAATAGATTTGATGGGACCACTACC